AAGCTTTACTCCCTTCCGGACCACCACTCTGCTTTCTGTTCCCAGACCTGTGCTCCCTGCCTGATCTGTGGCTCCACTTTGACCAGAGAGCTAGCACCAACACAGCTGGGTACCGGATATGAACCTTCAGGTGCAGGGATTAGAGAACCGACCCACCTAGCTAAAGGGTAAAACATCCTTAAGTTTCTCGCAACAATCCCAAGAGGAGCCTCTAGCTAATCAACAGCAATGGTACCTGAAACACAAATGTGAGCAGAGGGAGATCCTCTACTATGTTATACACAACAGCACAGAGTAAAACGGCTGAAGAAAGAACCAGAAAGATTCCATTGCAAATTCACATTCTTTTCTATTCTGAGTGCCAGATTTCATAAGCAAGTTTTTGGTAATACATAGAGATACTCTAATTATACATTGAAGTCATCCATGAAGTGTCAGCATGTGGAAAACATATAATGGAACCTTTTCTTGTGCACCAAGTATGAACAGTTAATATTTACATAATGTTTCATTGTAGTCCCATGATTTACATATATCAATTTACCTTACCAGGTGTGACAGCCACCACATAGCTATCCTAGCAACAAAACAAACACAAAATAAATAAATCAGAAAACCCCTAACTCACAAATCCGTTTACAACAGTGCAAAGACTGAAGTCCTAGAAAAGACGTGTTGTTTTACAGAGGACAGGAAACACCAAGCTTTTCTGTGAGAAAATTCTACTGCATTTAAGATACAGTAGAGAAGTGGATCAGAACTCGCATCACTTTTGACAAACTAATTTTTTTTGATCTGCTGGTCACCAAGAGTTCATCTAACTTGACCAGCGTCATTTTTGCAAGAGCCCTAAGCTAAAAGAATACAACTCTGTCTTGGTTTCATTCATTGTTCAGCTCTTCTAGATAACTATACAATCAATACATCAATGTTCGACAGACTCGGATAAGGATACCACTAGTTACCACCATTTGGTGTCATAGCAGAACTTGCCAGGAAGAACTTTTCAAGATACCCTCAAGAAGCACCAAGTAGTTTTTGATGGGCTCAACACGACTGCAAAACCCACATGTGGTCGTATCTAGTACATTTTGGGGAAAAAGATTCCTCAATTCTGTGATTCTGCAGTGTACAGTTACAGATAGGCTATGGGACTCAGGAGACTGCAAAAGGTTGCTGTAGCTAATGTCCATGCATTAGTTATGGAGACACACACCTGTATCCATTTTATTCTACGTAAACATTTGGTAGTGAATTGTACAATAAAAATGTAAAACATTAAGCTAGTAGTAGTTTTGTTCAAAAGCCCCAAGATCCCCAGATAGCTATTTTTTCCACGTATTTATGGTACTCCAAAGGTGTACTACAGGTAAAACAAAAACAAAAAACAAAAAATACACCAAAAAAAAACTATTCCCCCTTGCCTTTAATATTAGGGTCATTATATACAATCGTCTAGATATGCCCTTTTTATTCCAGTGTTTTCATACTTTCTACAGGCTTATATACAAAGTTAAATATGCTACTAATTTAGAAACCATGTTAAAACTAGACAAAAATGTTTCACCCTGCTAAACAAAAATCTTGAAGGGCTTAAGATTAAAATATCAACAATATCAGAAACTTCCTCTACCTGACTGTGGGCTCTACCGCTTTGGGACTTTGGTTCAGGCACTCAAGGAGACTCCTCATCACAGTCAACTCCCTTAACTCTTTCCCTTAAGATTTAGTTGTACAACAAAACCCCATGCTGAGTATAAACTCTAAACTAACGAGGCATGACCGAAGGCCACACTGCCATGTTCAGAGCCTTCTGTGGCCTGTTTCCTGGCTCCCGGAGAGAATCCCCACCTTTTGCACTGCATGTTGCAGTAGTTTTGTTCAAAGGAGATAAGCAAGCCAAAAGCCCCAGGTGGAATTTGCAGGAGTCTGACAAGGTATTCTCTGGAAAAAGCCCTCACTTGCCAATACACACCTGACCAGTCAGCCCAAGTCCTGCCGCCTCAGAAAGGTCTTATGAAATTACCTAGCTACATGCTTCAGGAAATAAGCTGCCCAAGGGTGTTTAAGGCAGCCTCTAGTCTGGAAGAAAATGAGATGGGAACTGTGCCTTCCTCAAAGGGATGATTCACATTAGTACTAAGATATTATGATGGTGGTAGGCACACCAGGAAAAGCACACGAGAATACCTTTATCCATTTCTGTGCTTCCCCTGTCATCTGCAAATCCCAGTACAGCACCCCTGAGGTAGGGAAGAATCATCCCCATTCTAGAGATGGGGAATGGAGGCACAAAGAATAAAATTAAAATTTTGTCAGTGATCTTCAAGAGCTAGGCACCCATATCCCATTGAAAATAATTTAACTAGACACCTAATTTCTTAACCCCTCAGAAAAATCTCAGCCCAAACGACTCGCCCAAAGTTACACAGGAAGTCTGTGCTAGAGTCAGTCCAGTGTCTTAACAACAATATCATCCCTCTGTGTTTGTGTAATGGCACTCAGATGTCAAGAGGATTTCTTAAAACACAAGGCCTGTCTTCATATTGGGTGCAAAAGCAGTTCCAGATCAACTATTACTTGGGAAGAGTCTCATGCCCAAAGCTTTGCTTAAAAGAAGCTATTTTGCTACTATGGGGTTTTCCAGACTAGACTTCCAGGTCTAGCCTCCATACTACCACCAACGGACAACTCCATGAAATCAATTAAGTTCTGTTTACTTGTACCAACAGCGTCTATGACCCAGTCCCCAGAAGCACCGTTCTCTTCTTTGGGCCATAGCAAGGAAGATATTACACTGGTAATTTCCATAAACACCAACACACCAAGAACAAGCTTGATTTTGAACTTCCAGAGAATTGTATGTATCAGTGGTTTTCAACCTTTTTTTTCATTTGCGGACCCCTAAA